ATTTAAAATGCCTCCTTGCTTACTCATAACATTTGTGGGCACAAAAATTAGAATACAAGAGATCATTGGACAAAACTTCCGCAACTAACTTATCAGTTTCATATGAAAGAGCATTTCCTCCCTTCTTACTGTTCAGCCATTACACAATCAGACTTCCCCAAACTGATCTTAGCAGAAGTGAAAATAGATTACACTATGCTCTGATTTCACCTTGCAAAACATTTATTTATTTTTTAACAAAAGCTTGCATGTCTATATTTCCATTTATCTATAATGCGTATTGAAGCATATCCCTTGGATGATCAAAGACAGATTTTGAACATCAGTTTAGAAGTATGGCCAAAAGGTAAGATATTTTATATCTTCCCTCCAAATAAAAGGTCTGGGGTTTCCCTTCCTGCCTCCAGTGTTACATGAGGCATTCAAAACCTGTGCACTTGATATATTTGCTACTTCATACTAATAAAGTGCAGATCTTACTTATTGAAGCCTGACAAATTAACTGGAAAAGCTATCATTAACACCAATTGATTTTTTCTTCCCATTGTTAGTGTACCTCCACAGGCTTCAAGGGAGACATTACTGGGCTTATGTAAGAGTGAAATGAGAATAAGACCGCTAAAACCAGCTTCATCTTATAGAAGATTTTGGACTCTGCCTTGATTTGTGGAACCAATGGCTTAAAAGCCACCTTGAGTCAGATTTGTAATTTTGCTCCTCTTCATATCATTTTTATGAACTGAGAGGGTCTGACTGGGCACATTCCCAGTTTCTCATACTCTCTCTAAACCAGCAGTTCTCGACCCCCAGGCACCCTCATTAGATTAAAGGCATCTCTCAGAAAAAGCCAGCTCTTAATTTTCACTCATGTTTTGACTACAGAAAAATAATAGAGCACTTCTGTTGCAAAGAACTCAAAAAGACTCAGACAACAGGTCAGAATTGTTTTAAAACTATGAATTCCTATCTGAAATCTCTTAGTTTCTCTTGTGAATCTTGCTTACACACCTACCAGTGCTAATGTTGCATGGCACATTGTAGCACACTTGAAAGGATCTCAAGGCACCCCAAGGTGCTTCATAGATATTAGGGCTGGAAGGGACAGGAAGTCAGCTAGGGTCAAAGGATCCCAGCAAGATAAGCGTCCAAACATTTCTTAAAAGAGTCCGGAGTAGATTCCCTCCACCCTTGGAGGGAATCTATTCCAGGCCTTGGGGACTTGGACAGTAAAGAAGTTTTTCCTGATGTCCAGCTTAAAACGGTCTTGGAGGAGTTCATGACCATTGGACCTTGCCATCCCTTGAAGCACTCTAGTGAACAGGCATTCCCCCAGATCCTGATGCACACCCCTGACGTACATATAAGCAGTCACCAGGTCACCCCTGAGCCTGTGCTTTTCAAGGCTGAAAAGTCCCATGGCTCTCAGCCTTTCTTCAAAAGGCCTATTCTGTTGTCCTCTGATCATGCACGTGACTCTCCTCTGGACTCTCTCAAGCTTCTCCACATCCTTCTTGAAATGTGGAGCCCAGAACTGGATGCAGTACTCCAGCTGCGGCCTCACCAAGGCCGAGCACAGCTGGAGGATGACATCCTGAGGTTTACTTGAGAAGCATCTATGGATGCAAGCCAGGGTTTTGTTTGCTTTACCAGCTGTGACATTGCATTGATGGCTCATGTTCATTTTGTGGTCATTCATGACCCCCAAGTCTCTTTCCGCCACGGTGCTAGTGAGCATAGCACTGCCAAGCCTATAAGCGTGCTGCAGGGTTTTTTCCCCCCCAAGCTAGAGCACCTTACATTCGTTGGTACCGAATGTCATCTACTTAACAATCACTGCTCTAAAGCATCCACTGTTTGCCACAAGGGACTGGGTGAGATGGATGTTTAGCATGGATAGTTCTTATGTTCTGGTTTTACCCACTATCATTAACACTGAAAATAGAGGAAAGGGGGAGGAAGGGCAAAGACTACAACTCTCACTTGCAGCTTACTGAGCCTGAACAAGCCATACTTTTCACTTGCCCTCACCATGACATTTATTTTAGAGCTAGGATGCTGGTAGAGGTAAGACTTGACTCTGTGTAAAAAAAAAAAAAAAAAAAAAAAGGAAGAAAAAATTACCAGTCGGGTCATCTCTCATTTCCTTAGTGGGAAGGAGGAGAGGAAAAGTGTGTGTGTGTGGGGAGCGGGCAAGGCTCAAATCACATGGCTGTCATTCACTCAGCTATGAGCTGTCACTTCTTAAATTGGGCCAGTTTGAAAGAAGCTCTCCAAACATTTACCTCAAAATTTGCTTCTTTTATGCAGTTCCACAAGAACAAAGTAGAAGTTGCTGTGCTTTATATTATCAAACACCTATCAATGCTTTGACTTACACTATGAAAGCATACATCTACTGTGCCTTAATTATATTTTAAGATTTGCACTATAAAGTAATTAAAGACCATTATTTGTAGTAAATTAAAAAAAAATTCCCCACTTCCCCCTAAAACCAACACAACCAACATAAAGCAGTTTTGAAAAAGCAGGATGAAATAAAGGAAGAAAATACGTATTAAGCTGTAACTAAAGACTCCAGTATGAGGAAGCTACATTCAGGGTTAAAAAATTTGGGGGAAATGTCAGCTATTTAATAATATTTTGATATAACATACATCTACCCCAACCCATTTTATGGATTGTTTCACAGAAGAGGGGACATGCACACACTTTTATTCAATGATAGTAGCTCAATTCTTTACCAGATTCAGCTACAGAGTATGCGAAGATTATTCAACCAAAAGTCTTCAAGAAGCAAAGCCAACAGCAATTAGTGACATGCATTAAAATTTACGAACATTACACAAATTCTAAGTGTTCTCCACAGATAGCAAAGGATGTGCATTATTGGGTATTTGATGAATCACACAAGAACAGATTAAGACAAAAGAAAGAGGAATGAAATACATATTTTTCCAATGGAGCACAACATTCCAGATGTCTTCCCGAGTGTTCTTGCCTTCTTTGCATTAAATTACTAATGTCGTTACATGTGATGAACGGTTCCACATTGTATTGCTGTCGCCTATATTTGGGGTTTCTGTTCCCACACTACAGAGCCAGGTGCCACAAAGGTATATATGGCTTTGTATTATGATACTCTTTGTGAGAAAATTATAACCACTGGTTGATAAGCTTAATCATTTACCTATTCATTCAGCTGGTGGCATCTCTCATGCATGCATCTCTGAACACATAGGAAGTGTTAATATATTAGGTATCATACAATATACAGTACATTTTTAAACTTTCTGTTTTTACATTTATGTAATTAAAATCAAAGAGATGCAATGGATTCTGAAATCCAATTTATTAAAAAAGTATTTCTTGATTTTAGATACTATTTAAAGCTTCAAGTTCTAAAGCTTTCCTACAATAAAGCCTAATTTGCTCTTTGTAGATAAGACACAGTACCACTGTCTGCAGCTTGATGAACTTAAAGTAGTAATAATATTTTTAAGTTAACGGAGTCTTGTATTTAAAGAGCTCAATGAGCTGTACACAATTATTAGAGTATCTTGATTTTTATTCCTAAGGGCGGTCTGAAATAAAACTTAGTTTTTCTCCGTTTTTTTTAAGCCCTGGGGAGGGGAATTATCATATAAGTAGGCTTAGAAATATATGTTGTCAGAGATTCATTTTATTAAGCTGTCAAGATGTGAAACTTTCAACGAGGCTGATTTCAAATATTGCGTGTCACACGGTTTAGCGAACCACACGATACAACCTACAGCATATAATAAATGAGAAAGACACTTTAATGGGATGCTGTCACACGCTTTCAAATTGAAGAAGGAAAACGGCACAAGTCTCGGAACTGATATTTTATTATGTCTGTTCAACAATAACCTCACCCGCTTCCCCGAGAGATGTTCCTGCTCCCTTTCCGCTGCTGCACCTTACACATGAAAGAGCTGCCTTTTAGAGACACCCCTTTGATTTCCCGCAGTTTTTAAAACTTCTTGAATCGTTACAATGGATTTTCTAGGGCAGATGCTAACGCAGCCCCAACCGCTGTCAAACAAGGCGCTGGATTACAAATCACAATGAGGCGGGGGAACAGAAAAACAAGACCGAGATCTTAAACAGCGACCAGGAGCGTGGAAAGAGCTTCTGCAAAACCGGATTATTAGGCTGGGAAGACAAATCACATTTTAACAGGAGGGCTCGGGCGCGTTGCTCAGCGCAGGGGCGAGGAATAAGCTGGGTTGGACCCAGAGGCAGGGGTTTGTTTCTCTCCCCGGGCTCGGGCAGGGGGAGGTGGGTGTGGATCTCCACTGCTCCAGGAGAGCCCAAGGGGGACTTTTGAATAACGCCTTCAGGCTAAAGCTTTGCACGGGGGGGGGGAAGGTGCCAAAATAAATAAATAAACACATACATACATAAATAGGGCAAACAACCCCCAAATTGGGGAAGCACTACAAATGAATAATAATAATAATAATAATAATGAGTATCGCGGAGCGGCGTGGGACACATGCACTCCCTCACTCACCCGGAGCGGAGAGGCTGGGCTGGGCTGGGCTGGGCTGCGCGCGGCTCCGCGGCTGCTCGGCTCTGGTGGCTCCCTGCGCGCTGGCCGCGACTCGGGGACCGCCTTGGGGGCTGATTCGACTGCGTCCGCCAACGCCTACCTTGCCTCACGCCTCCCCAGCCCCTCTTGGGGCCACGCCCCCTTCTCAGGGCCCTCGCGCCCATTGGCCGCTCCTTCTCCGCCTTCTCTTCCAGCCCCGCCCCTTTCCTCCTCCTCCTCTTTCCCCCGCCCTGCCGCGCGCGCGGCATGACGGGATGTGTAGTCCCGCGGCGCGTCACTACAGTTCCCAGGAGCCCGCGCGGTAGCCGGCGAGTTCCGGGCAACGCCTGGTGTGTGGTAACCGCGGCTGCAACCTCCCG